GTTTCCACAGTTGGAAAACGAGCGAAAGCGTCGGCCCACCGGCCGATCGGCCGCAGTGCTGGGCCGCCGCCGAGCTTCCGGTGCCTGGCGCCTGTCATCCTAGCTGCCGGAGGTTGAGGTCGGAGGATCGTGGTTCGAAGCCAGCCTGGGCCGGAAAGTCCGGGAGACTAGCTCCAAAGAAGTACTCACAGAAGCCGGAAGTGACCCTGCGACTCCTCAGATAGCGAGCACTCGCCTTGAGCAAAAGAAGGGGGCTGTCCCTGGCCTGCTTTTGCTCAAGGCGCAGGACAGGCAAGAAAAAATTAATATATATAGATATATATGCATGTGTATGTATGTGTATATATAACATACTTCTGCCACTGAGAACGTCTGTTAAAATTATATTCCTCCCAAATCTGAAATGCTAGGAATGCACACAGATTCCTTTTTGTTTTTTCAACTAGTCACACTCCTTGACTTGATAACATAAGCAAATTCTTTCAGATTGTTGTCACCTGACAGCTGTGTTTAAGGTAAGGAAGAGTTAGGAATCTACATCTTGGTTAGGCAGAAGTTTAGTTGTCCTTAACGCTGCGTGTCATCTTCTTCCCCTAGAAGTTTTAGCTCTTCTTCAGTAGGAAATTATAATTTGCTCGTTATGTGTACAGTTTTTTAGTCGGAAGGGATTTGCATTTTCCATGTCAACTATTTATGTTCGCTTAAGATCATTGTGTATTTATGAGTAAAACGATATGAATCTTTAAAACATTTAAAACAAAAATAATCCAGCTTAGCTGCTGTATGTTAGTATGTTAGTGACTCCCATAATGACATAGGTTACCTCCCCCCCCCCCAAAGAGATAGCCAGTGCCTAGTGAGTCCTTAACCATTACCCACGAGAACTGGAAGCTTAGGAAGGGCAGTTTGGCAGTTTTGTGGCAAGATCATTGTCAATGGAATACAGATGCAAGCCCCAGTGAGCTCCTCGCCCAGTCCAGAGCTTCCTGGGGAAAGATGTTTAAATACAAGCCACGGGCTCACTAAACACATGTGGATCAAGTGTAAGCACATAAAAACATGCGGATCAAGTGTAAGCACATAAAAACATGCGGATCAAGTGTAAGTACATAAAAACATGCAGATCAAGTATAAGCACATAAAAACATGCAAATCAAATGTAAGCGCATAAACATGCAGATCAAGTGTAAGCACATAAAAACATGCGGATCAAGTGTAAGCACATAAAAACATGCAGATCAAGTGTAAGCACATAAAAACATGCAAATCAAATGTAAGCGCATAAACACATGCAGATCAAGTGTAAGCGCATAAACACATGCAGATCAAGTGTAGGTGCATACGCTTTGGGTTATTTTAAGGAACAGGTGGCCTATTGCCTTGCTAACCTTCCAGTGCCCTTCATGCTTTGCAGAAGGCACAGCTGCCACAGTTCTTAAGGAGGAGGTAAACTTAAAACTGACCAGGAGCCACAGAGTGGCGTTTACAGGTGCTGGCACAATTGGACGTCCCATCAATGATTATTCCTAAAGCAGGTATTTACCCAAGCACCTACCAAGTGTCAGACAGAGTAGCTCACCCTTAATCGAAAAACAAACAAAAACCACATGCAGGAGCTGCCAATGGGCCATGTCAAACCTTGGAAGTAGGTACATGGGGCATTTCTTAGACACTGATGAAGCCACAGCATCTCAGAAGAACCAGTTTAAAAATGCACCGTTGATTGATTGATGCTGGGGGTAAAACCCAATGGTACCGTGCTCTGCCATATCCTCAGGGGGCCCTCCCCCCTGTTTATTTTGAAGGAAGAAAGTAGAGAAAAATACCTTTGTGGTGACAATTTAAAAAGAAAAAACACTTTGATAAGGATACTAATTATTAACTTATCAAGTCAAGCAATGTGAGGTTATGTAAATAGTCTAGCCATTTCGTCAGAGTTAAGGCTGGGAACTATCCCTGTGAGCACCAGGTATTGATTTGTTCAACAGACATCCTAGTGCTGTGCTAAGACTGGAAATACAAAGACACTTTAATCATTATAATACTACATGGATTTGGAGTGGTGGCAGATTCTGCACATGACATTGTGGGCTCTATTCTGGTCAGATGGAGCCAGGAAAAGACTTCTGGAAAGCCAGTGTGTGAAATCAGTTTTAAGGATGTAAATTTTAGCCAGGTGATTTTAGCCAGAAGTGGGAGGAGAGCTTTGTTCTGTGAGTGCTTGCTTTCCCAGGTCTATTCCTGATCCTTACAGAAACCCGACTAGCTGAGTTCCAGGAGTCTACTCCATATAAGCTGGTACTGAGGCTCACATGAAGAGCCAAGCTCAGCCCAGACAGCAGAGGTCTGCTATGGCCAAGGTGGATAAGACCACCCTTCAGCCAGGCAAATCCACGGGTGCCACCCCGTGGTGAGCTGAGATGGCACGCCCAGCTGCTGCGGCAGCTTGGTGTGTGCGTGTGTACAAGTGCACTAGGGTTTGAACTCAGGGACTTAAGCTTGTTCTACTGCTGAGCTATGACTGTAGTCCTCGTGCTGAGATAGCATCTTGTTTCCTGCCCACTGTGTCCCTGGACTGTAACCCACCTGTCTTACGCTTTCTGTGTAGCTGGGGTGAGAAGCACTCACTGCCAAGCCCAGCTTCTTGCACTGAGATGGAGTCTCAGACTTTTCTTCCTGAGCAGTCTCAGGCCTATGATCTCAGCCTCAGAAGTAGCTAGAATTACAGGCATGAGTCATTCACACTGGGTTCTGTCTATATATTTATTTCACCTTTGAACAAAACAGTATAGGGTCCCACCAATGATGTAAGTCTTAGGTAATCAGCCATCCCACTTCTTGGTTTAAATCCAAAGGACTGAAAGCAGAGATGTAAACAGGCATTTTTCCACTCATGTTTACAGCAGTGTTCTTCACAATAGCCAAAAGGTGGAGAGCAAACTAAGTGTCTGTGGATGGGTGGATGAGAAATAGGATGTGCAACAAATATTAACCATCCTTAAGAGGCAGGAGATTGTGGCACACATTAGAGACTGCAGGACTCCACTTGTCTGAGGTCCCTGGAGTAGTCAAGGCCACGGTCAAGCTCAGCAGGTAAAATACTGGATGTTAGAGAAAGAGGGAGGAGGAGTTAGGATTTAATGGGTGCAGAGTTTTTGGGCTGAGGTACTTGGAAAGTTCTGGAGATGGTTAGAGGGACAGTTACACAATGATGGGATACTGAACTGGGTATTTAAGGCTGGTTATGATAGCAGATTTTCTGCTCTGTGTATTTTACCATACCACAAAAGTCCTGGCAAACATCAATTAATGTCAGATAACTTGTGACAAATTTGTGATAAGAAGGAAATGAAATGTAAACAAAAAGCAGAACCAAGCCCAGGAAAAGAATGCTAGCATTCTAGATTCCTGAAAAACACATTACCAAAGTCCAGGGCTGTAAGACAGCAGAGAGAGCTTTTAGCTTAGCCCACTCCATTCACAGATAACTAGAGGGAGGCCTAGAGTTCTCAGATGACTTGTGTGACCCGTGATGCACATCTATGATCCTAGCTACCCAGGACGCTGAGGGCTAGAGAATCATAGTTGGAAGCTAGCCTGGCTAGAGAAGTCAGAGAGACTCCATCTCCAAAATAACCAGCAAAAGGTAGAGCTGGAGGTGTGGCTCCAGTGGTAGAGTACCCTATTTGAAAAGCTGAAAGCACAATTGCTGGAGTGTGGCTCCAGTGGTGGAATACCTGTCCAGCAGGTCCAAGGACACTAGTTCAGTCTCCAGGGTATGCCCTCACCCTCCAGATGCTTATTGGATCCCATCACTTCTGCAAATACTTGTACTCTTCTGCCCACATGTTCTGAGGGCTCCAACTCCCTCCCCTGGCTCACCCTTCCCCTCATCTCTACTCTTGGCAGATCAGCTACAGATGCTAACCTCTTTCCTCATAGTGCTCCCTCTACCTGGACCACCTCCAGCCTTAGCCCACTCCTGATAAACTGCTACTATCTTCTCGGCTCTTAAATTAGAGGTAACTCCACTGAAAACAGCCTTCCATGCTGCAGGATGTGATATTCTTCCTGTGACAACACTGCTTCTTCTGCCTGATCTCACGTTATTCCATTGCTTGTTAAATTGTCCAGGATCACGGTCCAGGCTGGTTTAGGCATAATTTGTAGCTCTTTCCCAAAAGTAGCCAGAGGAATAGATAGAGCTTGGTGGCGTGGTGCGGGTGATAAAGCACATGCCTAGCATAATACTTCCTGAGTTCAAATCCTAATACTGTCAAAAAGGTATCATTCATTGAGGGCTTCTTCTGTGGTAGCCACTGTGCTAAGTGATTTTTGGATAAAGCTTCATTTTCTCATTAGCTGTATGAGGTAGAGCTCATTGTCACGTAACAGTATGGACGCTGAGCACAGAGAGGTGATAGGCAGCAGTG